TGTGCAGCACCCGGCACAACGGGGGCCCTGATCTCGGTCGGGGTCTGGGCAGCGCCTGGCACAACGGGGCCTTGATCTCAGTAGGGGTCTGTGCCTTGCCCAGAACAATGGGGCCGTGACATTGGTCGGGATCTGGGCAGCGCCCAGCACAACAGGGCTCTGATCTCGGTCGGGGTCTGGGCAGCGCCTGGCACAATGGGGCCCTGATCTCGGTCGGGGTCTGGGCAGCGCCTGGCACAATGGGGGCCCTGATTTCAGTCAGGGTACTACATGGGCCTGATCTCAGACAGGGTAATGAGCATTTAGGGGTAGAATGGCCTGGCAGGGAGAGGGGTTTGGGCTCAGGATGTTCCATGGAGGAGGCAGATCCCCACCCAGTGCGGTCTCCATCCATCTCCCCCACTCCCCACTGCAGGTGGCTCCAGTGACAGACATGGCCATGGCCCTGAGGGGACCCTACCCTTTGCTCTTCCTGACCCTTGTCCTGCTGGTAACCTGCCTGGCCCAGATCATCAGACCACCAGACAGCTACCAAAACTTTGTGAGCGAACACGTTGATTTCCCCAAGACCAGACCCCCAAAGGGCCAGAGCTACTGCGACCACATCATGCGGCTCCTGAGCCAGAACATGGCTGCCTGCAAACTCACCCACACCTTCATCCACGCCCCCGCCAACCGGCTCCGGGCCATCTGCACCAGCAGAGGGAGATGCAACCAATACAATGAATGTAACAGCAACACAGCCTACCCTGTCACCACCTGCTGGCTGGACAGCCCTCCCCGCCCACCGAGCTGTGTCTACAGGGGAATACCCCAGACCCGCAGGATCCGCGTGGTCTGTAACTGGGGGTTGCCTGTGCGCTTCCTCAGAGTCCTGTAGAGCCCAGGTGCTGGCCATGGGCTGGGAGGTGGGGGGTCCCCTGCTCCCCCTTTTGCTCCTGTCATTGGGGGCTCTCCTGCCCCAACCCTGACCCTCCTCGACAGTGCCTGCCATGCAACTCCACAGGGACATTCAGCGTCTCCTCTTATCCCACGGGCCGGCAGCTTGGGGCCTTCAAGGGTGGGGGGGTTCCCACACTGGGTGTCCGGTTCCCATCCACATGATTGAAAATCCAGGCACCCAGCTCCCCTGACTGGCACTGAGACCCTCAGGCTGGGCCCAGCGCCCGCCTCACTGGGTGCCCATTACACAATACAGCAGCCTCCTCCCACTCCTCACCCTTTGGGTATCAGGGGCATGTTGTGGGGAGAAGATTGTCCCAGGCGGGGACCTGGAAGCTGTCACTGAGTTTTGTTTCATCGCTGCTTCTTGCAATAAACACTTTCCTGACAATGCAGAACCAGTCAGTGTGTTTGGGGGGCTGGGGGCATTTTCAGGCTTTCAATGGGGCCTATTCACCCTGCTGAGCCTGATGCTGAGCTGTGGGGTGTGAAGTGAAGGAAAAGCTCCAGAAAGAAACAAAACCTGCAGGGTGAAGAGTGCCCTGTTTAGGGTACGGACAATGGGGCCAGGGGGTGTCACCGGGGGCCTGAGATACACCCTGATCCTTCCCCGAGGAGACAAACCTCAGCTTGGCCTGTCTTTGGAAGGAGGGTCCCAGCCAGCCTAGCTGGACATCACTGCAAAGGCTGCGGGTGGGAAACTTCCTTAGCCAGAAAGGTGTCCTCTTTGCTCACTCTCAGCTCTACCAGGTGGCTTCTGCACCCAGTGGGCATCCTGCCCTGACATTTCCTTTTGCCTCCCCCAGCTCTTATGCACCTTGGGTGGAAAATTTTCCTGCCTAAAGACAGACACCCTGCAGCCCCGTCCCTTCTCCGATTTCCCCAGCCTCAGTGCATGGGCCCCGGGGTTGTGAAAGCTTCCTCTGTGTGTGTGTGGAGGATCTTCCCAACCGTCACGGTGACAGCCGTCTACCCCAGACCACAAGGGGCCAGAGGGGATTGTGTCCGATGCCTGTGACATCCCAACCACCAACCGACACCCGGCAAGACAGCAGGACTAGGCAGCATGGGACGGGCCCTTGGGCCTCGCTCTCTGCCCGGGATGGGCTGGGTCCAGTCAAGACTGAGGGGGTCGTGGGCAGCCCCAGTAGGGCCTGATATGGGCCTGGCCTGGGACTGTGGAGGTGTCAAAGTCCTGCGCCCGTGAGCACTGGGGGACACTGCAGAGGGAATGGGACAGGAGCTGGCACAGAGGGGCCTGGCAGGGCCCCCTAGCCAGTGCCAGTGGTGAGGGGTGGCTGGCAACTGGCCCTGGAGCCAGTCCCTCCCCGTTCATTATCTGTGGGGTTCGGGCTGGTTGGGGGGAAAAGGCAGAGAAGAAACAGAGCATCAGACTGGACCGTGTATCCAGCCAGCCCGGCCTGCCCCAGATCCCCCTGTACCCAGCCAGCCCAGCCTGTCCCGGATCTCCCTGGACCCAGCCACACCTGGCCTCCCTGGGCGCAGCCTGCTCTGGATCCCCCTGGGCCCAGCTAGCCCAGACTGCCCCAGATCCCCCCTGGGCCCAGGCAGCCTGGTCTGTCCCGGATCCCTCTCAGCCCAGTGAAGCCAGCCTGCCCTGGATCCCCAGCCTCCCCCGGATCCCCCTGGGCCCAGCCAGCGTGGCCTGCCCCAGATCCTCCTGGGCCCAGCCAGCCCCAGATCCCCCCTTGGCCCAGGCATCCCAACCTGTCTTGGATCCCCCTGGGCCCAGCCAGAGTGGCCTGCCCCAGATCCCCCTGGGCCCAGCCAGCTTGGCCTGCCCTGGATCCTCCTGGGCCCAGGCAGTCTGGCCTGCACTGGATACACCTGGGCCCAGCCAGCCCCAGATCCCACTGGGCCCAGCCAGCCTAGCCTCACCTACTGCAACGGGACACATCAAGGGATTGTTGACGTCACCAGGTATCACCATCACTCCAGGTGACTCAGGAGGGTGGAAAATCACAAGTGTCAATGAAGCCTTCCTGCACTAGGCCT